ATTTATCCCTCCGCCTTTCAACCAGCACCACATGTGATTATTGGCCAGGCTGGCACAATTAACTAACTCAATGGTATTATGGAAGACAAACCCTAACTCCATGTAAACAGTAAAGAGATGCCAATCATCTGAGAGTAATCTCTCTGCAACAAGTGGAAGCAGCAGCATCTGGAGGCAACCATGCTTTGAGATGGAGACTTGGTTCAATGGATTTTAAAAATTGACATGGGATCTGGACCTGCTGGCCGCATATTGTATGTCATTTAGGAGTTTTGGCATTGTAAAATTACAGATATATCTCAGAGTGAGTAAGTTTAGAAAAACATACCAAGATTTGTTTGACACAGTGACCTTTTTCCCTCCCAATGTGAACTCCATGAACTCCTTCATTTTGCTGCTTCGTAAAATCAGCAGTCATGCCTGGTGCCAGGACACTCTTTTCCCAGCAGGGCAGGGAGAACATAGGTTGAGATACTATTGAAATTACTTATTTTGCATATTTTTACATTAAACTACATCAGGGCCATTTTCCATTGGTCAGTACCGTTAGTAATCCAAGCACACCTTTTTTTTTAAGTTATCCATTTAAAATTATGAAAATATGAATCTTGTAAGATTATAATCACCATCAAATGAAGGGCAAAATTTGTCATACCAAAATAGAAATTTCACTTTAGAGTAGGAAAAAAGTGAAGACATGGTCTAGTAGACTAGAAGCAAAACGCAAGAGAAATACTAAAATATGCTTTAAAAGAAAACAACAGTTTTCTCTTGTACTGCCCTAAAATATATTTGGAGAATCAAAATTGCATCTCGTGATATTTATAAATGCATGCTTGAGAGCATTCAAAGAAAGGGCAAACTTAATAAGGTTGGTGGGTGGGGGAACCCACAGTAAGACATACCTTTTAGTCCTTCCAGGGAACTACAAAATTAGATGTTTATTAACTAACGTAAGTTAGTTTGTGGATTTGGTTGGAGATAGAAGTTACTCTTGACTTTATGCGGTGTAGGTGTATTTCAATGACCTTGTCCGCTAGTCAAGTCTCTGCATGGACATATGTGATTAAAAATATTCCTCTGCTCTCGCCTGGTGCTTGTAACATTTCCCACTACCTGTCACTTTGTCCTTGACGATCTTTGAGGCACACACACACACACACACACACACACACACACACACACAACAAAGCCAAGTTGCATTGACCAGGTATGTTATTTATTTTTCTCCGGTGCTGCTTTGTGACATTAGAGTTCAGATTTACCATGAAACACATTTTAATCAGTGACCATATCAGACAAATGGAAGCTAAGCACTGGTTAGTATGTTGAAAATAAATACGCAGGCTCTCATTAATGTCGCTGTCTGAATAATTAGTTGAGCATCGTGTCCTGAGCAGCCATGAAAGCAAACCAGCTTCTCACTGGAGCGACAGGCTGACAGCGGCATTTTGGAGCATGGTCATTAGTGTGCCCGCCATCAATGTCATGTTACTATGTCAAATTAGTTAGTGTCCCCTTAGGAAAGAAGCAGGACCTACAAATTATCCTCCCACAACCCCGGAAAGCGTGTTAGCAAAACCTCCGATCGAGTGTGAGCAAATTATTCACATGGCTCATAAATTAACTAGTTTACAGGCTTATAACATTTTACAAGTAGATAATAAAAGGCAGAAAAGTTTTCCTATGGCTTTGCCCTGATGCTTAGGGGTGTGATCGGTGCCTTTTCTGTGAGGAGACCACAGAGGATGATGGCTTTTTGCTTAGGACCAGCATAACACGTGGAATGTCAGGAGCAGTGTGTGGAAAATGTAGAGCCCAAAAGGAAACAGGTGTAAATCCTTCAAAAACAATATAATTAACGTTGTTATCTCCTTGCACTGATAAGTCAATGACAATGGCGGTCTTTCTTGTGGTGGCAGTTGCTCATTAATGAGTTCACCAATTATGTTTGAACGATTACGGCCTTTGCCAACTGAAATTGTCTTTAAAGAAAAAATTCACCCAGTTTTTTTTACTGCACTCTGATCCTCATCGTCAGCTGTCTTTTTTCTCAGAAGAATATTGCTAACGCAGCATGTTGAAACTCGCCAAAGATTGAAGATTCTTCAGCCATAGCATGTTGGGTAAATAGTTAACTCACACATAGAAACTGATCACTGTAAAACAGAGAGTGGATTTGTCTCGCCTCAGTTCATCTCTTATCAGGAAGAGCCTACCCCCGTACCACTTCTCAACCTCTCAACTCTTTTACTAAGTTGTGGTAGAAAGCCCACGTAGGTTCCAGAAAGAGAGAGAGGTAACTATTCATATCATAAAACTTCATACATCTCCTTTTCCGTTTCACCTTCTCTGTATGAGTTGTTTAGAAAAAACATGCACATTCATGGAGTTTTGTGTGACTTTATTATTGTGGGCTAAGTGTTGGGCTGCTAACCGCAAGGTCAGCAGTTTGAAACCACCAGCCGCTCCACTCTGTGGGAGAAAGATGAGGCTTTCCACTCCTGAAGAGTTAGTCTCAGAAACCCACAGGGACAGTTCTACCTTATCCTATTGGAATCATTTGGATGGCAGTAAGTGATAGTTACTGTTGAAGGAGAGAGAAAGAGAGAACAAGAGAGCATGAGCGAGCAAGCACACACACAAGAGATCTGATGCTGTCTACATATTCTGTAGTTGCATCCTCATAGTGAGTCTGCTCTATAAACACATGGGCATTATTATGTATGGTGTTACTGTCTTAAGCATCAGAAATGGACTGGCACGCAGAGCCCTTGCTACTGACATCTAGTCAGAAAAACTTTCTGAAAGTGATTGAGGATGAGTTGATTTATCTGTCAGCAACTTCAACTTACTTAGAAATAGATTTAGTAAATATTTTACTAGTAACCCAAGTATGGCCTGCAGCCTTGCAGCCTCAGCACATGTGCACATACACACGCTGGCTGTTTCCATAAGAAGGGTGTGTCGCACCCTCCTGCATTTAAAGAGCAGTGGGAAAGCTGCTCCCTGTGGTGCACGGGATTTGGTGTTTTCCTGGCAGAGGAGGTCCTGTTCTTCCTGTTTGGGGCTGGCGGTGTGTGTGTGTCCCTTATACTTGTACTTCTTCCCTCAGTGGCACTTCGGAATTCATCTAGTCTCTTCCACTGAATGTATGGAGAGTAGTGACCTGGCAACTGAGAGACCAAACAAAACCCTCTCTTGCACTCACCAGTACTCTTGCCCCGATTTCTCAGGATGAGTTAGCATTGCAACTGTGAGCATTTATTCTCCTGAAAAGGAAAGGAACAACATGGAATTTCAAAGAGTGAAACTTTCCAGGGGAAACCTGGAAGATTAGGACTTTAAGAGTAGGACTTTTAAAACCTTTAAGAGTAGGACTTTTACTGGACTTCGTAACCTTTCATGTTTTTCTGTTATAAACTCTGAAATATTAAATTCAGATGATCAACCAGATTGAATGCAGGCACTTGATGGGAAAGGACAAAACAGGCACTTAGAAACATGCTTATAGGTTGAATGTAAACATTTGGGTCAAAAAGAAATACTTTGCTTTCAAATGTATGTGTTGCATTGGGAGCATCAAAAGGTGACTCTTTGTTTACTCCTCTCTCTCCTTTTTGATCGCAGTGCCCCCGCTCCCCATGTGTTTGAGTCCTGTGACGTGATGCATGATCCCTGCCAGTGATTCCAGGCTTTTTATGGCTGTCAGCCCCGTGCAAAGTTCAGGGTAAGTGGCACCCCCCACTCTGCCACCTACATTTCCATCTGCTTCTGTGGGTCAGAGAAATCCATGCCCCCAAGTCGATTCCGAGTCACAGGGACTCTGTTGGTGGAAGATATGGTATTCCCAAGGAAAATAAGGACCTTTGCAATGGTACCAGTTCCCAAACCAGTCGTTCCAATAGACCATGGTGGCTTCCAAAAGTTCGTGGGAAAATGTCATTATCTTTTCATCCCATTTTTCCATGAACTTTTTAGATGCCTCTCTTATTGGCTACTACTCTCTGTGATAGCATTATGGATTTCAAGAATCATATGATAACTTGCATTGGGTTTTGGGGAGGGCGATTCAATACAAGGCTTGGCAGGTCTGTCTTTAAAGGACTAGAAAGTGAATGCTTCCATCTCATGGGCCGAATGTGTTCCGTGCCAACTACTCACCTACACCACTGTAGCACAAAGGCAGTCACGGTCACAACTCAGGCATACAGTGAGACTGTGACCCCAGAAAACTTTATTTTACAAAACCAGGCATGGCCCGAATTTGGCCTGTGGGCCAGTTTGCTGATCCCTACTCTAGAACATCAAAGCGGCCGCATGTTCAGTAAGCACATCACCCGCCTGGCCTTGTGAAGATGAAACAAGGTAGTGTATCTGTGAAAGCATTTTGACAGTTACAACACCCCTTCCAGTTGTAGGATGGCTCTGCACAGCCCTTCCGGTCACCTTGGGGAGCGCATCTTACATCATCACCTTTTTAGTCACATTAGGCTTTCATGAGCTAAATGAGTATTGGGGTGTGCTTATATTTCCTGAGTAATGTGACTTTTCTGTACGCTCCTTCTGTTTCGAAGCTGATAGACAAGCTGTTTAAATATCCTTTTAGTATCAAAAGTGGACAAAGGGATATAGGGGTAGATTATGGCAGACTAAAGATCAAATACTAATGAATAATGATTAAATTTCTTTTAATCATCAGAATCTGAGAAGGCTCTAAGATCTTCCACCTTTAATATAGACCTTAATAAATAACATGGCTTTGAATGTCTACTAGAATGTTTGAATTTCACAAGTCTTGCATGTCAAAACATAGAGACAGGCTCAGCAAATACGCTTCTGTGGACACGCAGCACTAATTAAGAAGGAAAGTCATACTTAAACAAACCGCTTTAGGAATGGAAGGGTAATCAGGATCCTAATCCGTGAATTTTCTTGTTTCTTTTTACTTACACAAAGCATCAGTATAGTGTCTTCAGACCCATTTGTGCACCCTTCTCTCAGTTAAGAGTTGTTTACTGGTGCTAGAGATCTAGCTACACATACTGAAAAATGTATCCATTTCCTCATTCTCTCATATACAACCCCTCTGGAAAACAGCAGTTCACAGTCGGTAAGTGTCTTCTATTTACTGCTTTGCCAGTTCACGTGTGGTGCTTCATTCTCCGGGCCACAGTGAAGCTGCTGGCTCCAGCCATTAGCGTTATATTCTGCCTGGAAGAGACAGAAAATAAAGGGACTAAAAGAAAATAATTCCTAGTGGCAACAGGTGCTATTAAAGAGCGTTCCTGGAGCCTCTTTCAGTGGCTGACTTCTACTTGTGTCCTATTAGCCACCACTAGCTCTACATGTGGAAGAAAGATAAGGCTTTCTACTCCCATAAAGACTTACAGCCTCAGAAACCCACCAGGGCTTCCGTCCAGTAGTGTCCCTATGAGTCAGAATCAACTCAATAGAAGTGAGTTTGACTTAAGTTAATGGAGCTATCTATCTGAGAAATGCAGCCTAAGTCTTGGGCAGCGTGGTGTCCTAGATAAACTCTAGGTTCTGTTGCCACAAAAGAAAAGGAGAGTAACTACTAGAAAACAATAGTAGCTACTTGCCCGTGTCCCACAGTCATAAATTTTATTTTTCTTACGTGCTCAATTTTTATGCATCTTAAATAGGTGCCTTCTGTTGATCCTTTCTAGCCTTGTGTGTGCGATGGTTAGCTTACGTTTTTCCTTAGAATTTCGACCGGTTTCATTCTTAGCAGGGATATTGATTTCAGTAAATGTTTTAGGGCTGTAATTTTCTTATGGTATTGCAAACCTGGGAACTAAATTTCTCTCTCAAGGGAGTTATAAATTAAAATTTTAACTCCAGACATTGCTAATGGGTTTTCTTTCTTGTGGACATAAAGTTTGGTGACTTCTCAAGGACCAGCGTGTAGGCCTAGTTACATGCAGGTTCATCCCTAATTCTGTTCTTCTCAGTTTATTCAGGGGACATGGCCATCAGTTTAGCACTGTCTCCATGAAGACAGATAATAGTACCTACTCTACATCTCTGTAATTTACTCCCATAAGCCTTTCCTGATTGGGGGTGGGGTTGGGGGGAGCTTACCTGAGAGAGACAAGACAAAAGAAGGGAAAGGAAAGGGACATACATGAGCCAACCCTGCTCAGTTTGTTGATTCCCAATTAGTCTGTAGGTTATTCTTGTACAAATTTCAACTCATAGCAGGGGACTCGGACCAATGTTTCATCATATATTGTCTACCCATTCCAGCCTGTGGTGGGTGCTAGGAAACATATAATACTTGATGCAGTCACACAACCATTTGTTTCAAAGCTTCTATAGGATAGAAGTGTGGGCAAGAGAGTATTTTGAAAGACCAATTTTTATTCAAATGTCACCTTTCCCACTCATAGACTGAAGGATTCTGAGAAAATTACTTAACCTTCCCAGTTCAGGGTGTGCACATCATGAGAGTCTTAACTCCTTGCGTGAGATGACTCTTGTAAAGAGCTTAGCACAGATCCTAAGATCCAAAGCTATCAAGTCAACTCCAACTCATGGCAACCCCATGCCTGTCAGATTGAATGGATTTTTACTGGATGGGATTTCAGCTGTGCTTGGTAGACTTGACACGCCAACCTTCCAGTTAGCAGCTAAATGCATAAATGTTCCTCCCTCCCAGGGACTCCAGCACAGCACACATTCAATCTCTGCATGGTGTTGGGGACCTCCAGTGATGCGGCAAGCCTCTGTCTCCAGGGAGTTTGACCCTCCAGTAGTTGGCTTGTTGTTCACTGTTTTGCTGGTCAACAATGTCTTTTGTCAAAACCTGCTGCCTTTCCCTTGGTAAATTTAGGAGGGCCCTGGGCAGCGGCCTTGAAGCCCATCTTCAAGGATACCTGCAGCCACATGCCATGCTGGACAGCTCTGTGCAGATCTCACATCACTGGGCCCCATTTTGGCAAGTTCCCCCAAGAGGCAGAGAGTTGCTTTTTAATTCCTTTTTTTCTTCTCCTTACTCAGATAATGGGCCTGCCTACCAAGCAGAATTCACAAACTGCTTTCCAGTTGGTGCAGCTGATGATAATCTGAAAGGCTAGGTTTGCTCTTGTGCAGGCTGATTCCGCCTAAAATGGATCCTTCCCCGCTAAATCACCTGCCCCTGCCCCCATGCCGACTTAGCTCCGTGGCTCTGATCTCCTGGGGAATGGCCTTCACATAGCAGAGCCATCTGCTCATAGAAAGCTGTGGAGTGACTGCAGCAAAGATTGCTAGCAGTGCTCAGGGATGGCCCCATTAGAGAAGTGTCGGAAGACTGCGAAGCCATTGCAGCCATGTGGCCATGACCTTCTCTGAGCACTCTTGCAGGCGAGCAGAAGAGTCATCCCCTCCGTGTAACGGCTCTTTGCAGGGATTCCCTTGATTCAGATCCCAGAACCCTGAGCTAATGACCTTGGAACTTAAACCTTTCAAGAACCTGCTTCCCACAGACTTTGTTTCCATCTGGAGGGTTGTACTTGGTCTAAGAAGTCTGGGCCCTGTTGGGTTTTTCTATGGCATTTCAAGTGTTTCAAGTAAACTCTGCTACCTCACATAAATGTCATCGAGTCTCTTGTATCCCTGGGTCCTGGTGAAGAGTTGCTTCTCTTCACAGACCCAACCCCGCCTCACCCCTCAGTGCTCACTCAAATAGCAGCTCCTTGGAGGGGCTGGTTCTGGCCACCCAGAGTAAAACAGACCACTCCTTTGTGCTCTTCTCCACATAAGCCTTTGGTTTGTTGCATTACACGGTGGTGGGTGTTTTATAGAGAGAAATGGGCTTCTAGGAGTTCATGGGAACGATGAAGCTGAAAGATAATGAGACTTTTCTGTGACTTTTAGAGGTCCCACAATATCTGTTTACCAAGCAACAAACAGCAGACAGAGCTACCTTGATCAGCATGGCTCCCATGGTTTAGCTGTGCCCAGACACTCAGAGACAGGGCTCAAGCCACAACAATGGATTTCAACATACTAGAAAGCATGAAGATGGCCGAGGACAGGGAACTTTGTTGTTCTTTGGGGCACGCGGTTCACCATGAGTCAGAGACAGCTCTCTGGTGACTAACAATTCCAGCGAATAGTAGACACACAGTATTTGTCGAACCAATCAGAAGTATGCGTGGGAAATTCCTCCGTTTACATGTTATTTAATGTGTAGTTATAAGAGCCTTGGTGGAATAGAGGGTTAGGCATTGAGTATTAACCACAAGGTCAGCAGTTCAAAACCACCACTGGCTCCTAAGGAGAGAGGTGAGGCTTTCTATTTACTGTGGTAAAAAGTTACAGTCCCAGAGGCTCAATAGAAACTAAATGTTTAGAAATGATGATAGCAACATATGTACAAATGTGCTTGATACAATTGATGTATGGATTGTTATAAGAGCTGTAAGAGGCCCCAATAAAATGGTCTTTTAATTAAAAAAATAAAAGTTGCAGTCTTAGAAACCCACAGGGGCTCTACCCTGGCCTAGAGGGTTGCTCTGAATGGAAATCGACTTGATAATGGTGAGTTTTGGGGTAGAAAATTGGCTGAGGAGGAAGATAAATAAAACTTCACACGTCATTTTTGTGGTAGGGCTGGTAGGGATGCCAGCCCTGGCCCTTCTCTGGAAGGGTTTCTGTTGTGGAACAATCCTCATTCAGTAAGGATTATACATTATCTTCCCCTTGAAGACAAACTCATTTTCC